TATCTTCCAAAATTTTTCCTGGACTGATTTACCACTGTATGTAATTATGTTATTTCTAAGATTATTTAATTAATGTCTATCTCAATCATTAAAATGTAAGGGAGAAAGGATAATATGTGTTTTACTGTCCAATTTACCACCAGTGCCTAGCATTTTGCCTAGCACAGGGTTAATGCTAAAAAATAAATGTAGTTGAATGAATAAATGCTGCTAGTGTAGTAAAGCCAGCATTCAAATCTAAGCATACTGGACTAAAAAGTCTATGCACTTATCCACTATATTATATTGCCCATTTTCCCAACACAAAACAATATTTAGATCAAGTAATATTTTACTCAGTTTAGGATTGTCTGGTTGACAAAGAAAATTATTGTCCTCAACTCTATGCCTACTTTCTGGGCTTAGAATGATAGAGTATAGCACTCCCTAACTAAGACCCAGGGATTGTAGGTTAGCAGTTCGCCTCTGCCTGCATGTTCACACGGTGAGCTGTCTTTGCCTGCTTCCTCTAGGAAATAAATTTTCCTATTTCTCATAGCTAGAGTCTCTGGCCTAAGCATCCCATTTTGTTTACTGGTATTTTTCAATAATACTTAAAAAATACTAAATACTTTGAAAATATTCATCATATTTAATATATAGGTTTAATCTGTGTGGTTTCTATACAAAGTGATATAACTAATTGTTTCAATTACAAGTTTATTTTACTTACTGGAATGATTTTATAGAGTAATTAAATCTGTGATTTAGCTTAGTTTGAGAATGTAGCATCTAACCTACCAGATAGATACAATATTCATTTATGCATGCATGTTTTGATGATTTATTGTATGTATGGTACCTGTTTAATTCTATGTCTTCAGGCTCTACTTAGGATCTTAAAATCTGTCCATGTATTCTGTAAGGTGAATTCAGGCCACTGTCCTGCATAAGTCATACTCCTCCATTAAGTCCCAAGTACCTCGCTTGGTAATTAGAAGGCAGAGTAATGCTACGCTTTAGTGTCTTTTATATATGTGTGAAATAGCTACTTTCAACTGAAATTTTTATTTTCATTTTTAATTTGACATCTTACAGATTTTATATTTTGACAGTTTTCCAAGCAATTATGATGTAAATGTAATAGTCTAAATGTTAATTGACAATGTTTAGGACAGGAGAGATACCATAATTGACAAAAATTTGCTAGTTAATTCATTAAGTCATTTAGTAAGTAAAATAAAGTCATTTAACTGAAACAGCTAACCCTATCGCCTGGTATAGAGACCATATAGAGTCTATAACTAAGAGTCTTAATAGGTATTTTTGAAGTATTCTGCAATATCTATATTGTCAAAAAATACAGATAAAGAAAAATATCTATAATCTAACCACAATAGATAGCCAATATTTACACCATACACCTCTTCCTATATTTGTATATATTAGTGTAAATATATGTATTAACACATACATTTTACAAGAACAGTAATCAAAATAAAGACTTATTTATTATCTGATCCAAAACTCAAAAATCATATATTCCTATGGTGATTTAATAATCTATACCATTTTAAAAAGCTGAATAGTGTAACACCTGCTTGAATATGTATACTTTTACACCCTCTATTATTGTAAAGTGGTTACAGTTTTTTGTAAGTATTATTATAAAGAACATTTTCATAATCATCCATAAAACTAAATCTTTGAGCTCCTCCTTAACTTATTCCTAAGACAAATACCTAAGACAGAAATTACTAGTAAAACAGTATATATTGTTTGTGTGGGTTTGGCTAATTCTTCCAGAGTTGCTCTAAATTAGCTGACCAAACAAATAAACCACTAATAAGCAAGTATAGTTCAAGTACTCAATTTGTTTCAAAAGTCACTACCAGATGTCAGATATTTGTAGAATCATTTCAAATGATTTGTAGTATGTGAAAGAAATACTCTTTACTCTCAGTACAAGAATAATACAATATGTAACTATAAAACAAATAAATGCCAAAGTATGTGGAAAAACAAACAAATATAATAAAGGTTTGAGAGTGTCATTAGAACAGTCTGCTTAGTCAGGAAAGATAATATGAAGGAAATAGTTTTTAAAGGAAGATAAGGTTATAAGAGTTAGTGATTTAGTAATCTTCAAAAACAGAGGAAGTAGCATCAAGGAAAGCAGTAATTAGAGCCATATGCACGGAGCACACTGAATACGGAGAAGCTTCACATGGAGGGATAATGAGGAAGTAAAGATGATGGACATTGTTGAGGACATGCTATGAAACATCTAGCCCTGAGCAGCAGATGCTGCACTGGACATCCATAACAACTGAGAACCAGAGTAGATTCTTCAGCAAAGCAGATGGAGATTTAAGAATACCAGCCTCTTAGGAGTTTGTTACCATAAAGCAATTAATATTCCATAAGATGTCAAAGTCAAGGTCTACAAACGATGTTGGCAGTAGAAGTGGCATAAATTTGCAGAGATGTATTATTGGAGATATACTTCTAAGAAATAGGAAAGAAACTGGTCATGGAAATGAAGGCAATAAATAAGGAAGAGTTAGGGATGGTGCAATTTCTCTCTTCTATACATTTAGAAGAGAGGTGGTGCCTCTTGTTAGAACTGGGGAATTAGGAAGATTCAAGCTCCATGAGGCAAAGCCCATGCACTATGGGCCAAACCTATGTTAATTTAATTTTTAACTTTGCTTAGTTTTCTGTTAGTAGCTATGCTGGATAGTCTCTATTTGCCCTTCCAGATCTTCTCTCCACCCGTCACTCCACTCTGTACCCTAGGAGACTAGTCTCTAAAAATTGCATAAAGCAGGCTCTCTTGACCTCTGGCTTCAGGTTGGGTTTTACAGGTCAGAGCAGGAGGTCAGCAGGTCACAAGATAGACAGACCAAGATATTTATTGACCTATCTGCCTCCATGCTACTGCAGTTTGGCCCTAGTCGCACTGGCTGCCTTAGTCTATATAATCTAAACTTGCAGGTTTTCCCAGGTTCCAGTAAAGCTAATAGTGGTAATATGTTACCAAGTGTTTTCACTATCTGTTGGTTTCTATTAACCTTTCCAACATCCTGTAAATGGTTTCTTTATCACACACTCTCCAGTGACCCCCCCTTTTTTTTCTATTTTGCCATCATTAATGTACAATTACATGAGCAATATTATGGCTACTAGACTCCCCCATTATCAAGTCCCCACCATATACTCCATTACAGTCACTGTTCATCAATGTAGTAAGATACTATAGAATCACTACTTGTCTTCTCTGTGCTATACTGCCTTCTCCATGACCCCCCCACTACATTATATGTGCTAATCGTAATGCCCCTTTTCCCCCTTATCCCTCCCTTTCCACCCATCCTCCCCAGTCCCTTTCCCTTTGGTAACTGTTAGTCCATTCTTGGGTTCTGTGATTCTGCTGCTGCTTTGTTCCTTCAGTTTTTTCTTTGTTCTTATACTCCACAGATGAGTGAAATCACTTGATACTTATCTTTCTCTGCCTGGCTTATTTCACTGAGCATAATACCCTCTAGCTCCATCCATGTTGTTGCAAATGGTAGGATTTGTTTTCTTCTTATGGCTGAATAATATTCCATTGTGTATATGTACCACCTCTTCTTTATCCATTCATCTACTGATGGACACTTAGGTTGTTTCCAATTACTGGCTATTGTAAATAGTGCTGAGATAAACATAGGGGTGCATATGTCTTTTTGAAACTGCACTCCTGCATTCTTAGGGTAAATTCCTAGAAGTGCAATTCCTGGGTCAAATGGTAATTCTATTTTGAGCATTTTGAGGAACCTCCATATTGCTTTCCACAATGGTTGAACTAATTTACATTCCCACCAGCAGTGTAGGAGGGTTCCCCTTTCTCCACAACCTCACCAATATTTGTTGTTGTTTGTCCTTTGGATGGTGGCAAGCCTTACTGGTGTGAGGTGATATCTCATTGTGGTTTTAATTTGCATTTCTCTGATAACTATTGACGTGGAGCATCTTTTCATGTGTCTGTTGGCCATCTGAATTTCTTCTTTGGAGAAGTATCTGTTCAGATCCTCTGCCCATTTTTTAATTGGATTATTTGGTTTTTGTTTGTTGAGGTACGTGAGCTCTTTATATATTTTAGATGTCAACCCCTTATCAGATATGTCATTTATGAATATATTCTCCCATACTGTAGGATTTTTTTTTTCTACTGATGGTATCCTTTGCTGTACAGAAGCTTTTTAGTTTGATATAGTCCCACTTCTTCATTCTTGCTTTTGTTTCCCTTGCCTGGGGAGATATGTTCATGAAGAAGTTGCTCATGTTTATGTCCAACAGATTTTTGCCTATGTTTTTTTCTAAGAGTTTTATGGTTTCATGACTTGAATTCAGGTCTTTGATCCATTCCAGTGACCTCTTTTGAGGTGGAGCCATCTATTTCTTGCTGGAGTCTTATGTGACAAAATAACTATGGTGCAAGTGCTCTGAGTTTTCTACAAAAGGGTATATTACCCCATGATATTGAATATACCTCTCTGAAAATTTCATCTTATCAGAGAAAAGAGGCCCAAGTATAAGAAGCAGATGCATTCTTTTTAATAGAAGTTTAGTACATAAGGCAATAATTTCATGTCAATAATCAATCAGCATATCAGAACAGAATTATATGTTTTTTTATCTCTTTTAGGGAATAGCTTTTCTATAAATAATCTTTAAAACTTCAAATGGGATAATCTTAAAATATTTTATATTTTGACAGGTAAGAGTTGGCAAAAGAAACATAATTCAGAACCACACTAATATTTTGTTTTTAGCTAAAATTGCTACTAGAAAAGCTCAACTCCAGTTAGTATCAGATTACTGAATGGAGTCCATAAGATACTGGGTAAGGTAGATGCTCTTGAAAATAAGCATCATGATTTTACTTTCTGGAATTTGGATTGGAAAACTATATGCATATACAGTAGCTTCGTTAGTTTCCATAAGAACAATAATGAGGGTTTTGTTTTTTTTCCCAGCATGAACAGTGATGAGCATCACAAGGAACTCAGCATAACAATCAGTATGTATTTTTAATAGGACTTGACAGAATATAATAGTAAAATAGTTTGAAAATAATATCAAGATGAAATAAATTTTATTCAACAGTTTTTATTACAATAATATAGGTTGGTTTGATTTTTTGTTTTGTAGCAAGGAATTTCATTAACTCATTCAACAAATACTCATTTAACAACACCTAGCATGGGCCAGCCCCTATCTTAGGCCCAGAGAATAGAATGGTGAGAAAGTCCAATGATGTCTTTGTACTCCTGGATCTTAGAATCATTCAGAAAAGGCAGAAAACTGGGGGGAAAAAAACTATCACAGACAAGCCCCTGTTACGAAAAGGAAACAGAATACTATAATTGTATGAAAAATATAAAATTGTATCTGGAAGGGCTCTGGATATATAACAATCTACCAATGGAGAAGAAGTCTGTGGTTAAGCAAATCGGTTCTGCAGTCAAAACTGCCTAGGTTCAGATTCCCACTTTGTCATCAATTTGCCATGTGACTCAGACAAGATAGTCAGCCTCTCTTTCCTCAGGTTCTACCTGCTTAAAGTGGGATAAAAATAGAACCTATTTCACAAAATCACTGTGCGCTAATGTATGTAGTTTTATAGAAAAATGCTGGTATGTAATATGTTTTACTTGCTTTTAGTATTTTTTAAAAACCTTTCTTACATTCCAGAAGACTCAAAGATATTTTGAGTCTGTGTTTTACTAATCTCCAAATAATGAGATCCTCATAAGTGTTCATGTATATCTTATAGCAAGACTAACCAAAACAAGTAAACTTCCAATGAACTATCATAATAGTAACAACAATGTTGATAATGATGATTTGTAACATTTCTTGCCTATTACTTTGCTAAACAAATATGTATGCTATTTATATCATTAATTTGCTTAACAACTCAGTTGGCTTAGGTATTTCTCATTTCATGGATGAGGAACATGAAGCTCAGAGAGCACCTAGCAGAGAGCCTTGCATAGTACATTCCTAATACATACTTGTTTGAATAATAAAAACTGAATGAATAAATGAATATAAGCTGTTCTAAGGATTTTATCTTTAATTATTAACCCAATTTATATAAGATATTATATACATAATATATAATATTATATATATTAACCCAATATATATAACCCAATTTATACAAGATATTATATATAAGTATATATAATATATAAGATTATATATATTAACCCAATATATATAAATGAATATAAGCTGCTCTAAGAAAGAGAATTTTATCTTTAACTATTAACCCAGTTTATGGTCCTATTTCTAATTAAAGCAGTTTGGAGAAGTTTTATAAGTAGTTATCAAGTTTCTTCTTAGCCTCTGAAATTAGTTACACTGATTCCTGGGGCACTGCCAGAGAGAGAACAGAAAGGGAGACTTGCAAATTGGTAGTTTTAGAATCTACAGAAGTAATTCTCTGCAAACTATTTGGGGAACACTGACCTAAGCATTGTTATAAATTGCCTTATAAAGGAAATAGCATAATATTAACAAAATTGTTTACATTTCAGAATGTACTACATTTTCTCAACTAATAAAAAACACAAAAGCAAATAATACAGATAATCTTTTCAAAACATTTAAATTAACGATGACAAACATAATAACATGAAGTTCTTTTATAATTACTGAATAAACAAGTTCTCTATATAGAATGTTTCATCTTGCTGCTTTCTATTATAAGCTACAGATTTAGCACTTGAGCAGCATTGTCATTCTGGGTTCATTTTAATTTAAAATAGCATTTTCATAATATTATTACATATGTTCAGATCCTAGAGGGCTAACAGGATAGCATTAACTGTGATAGAGAAAAATATGTCTGGTGTTTTGACATAATGCATTTAAATATTTTTAACCCTTTCTTCTTAGGCGCAAGGACCCTGAGTCCCATGTGAACTCCCCATCTGGACAGAAGAAGTACATGAATTTCTTGTCTAATGGAACATCTCCCCAGAAACATTGTCATTACCATTAAAGTTACATTGAGGTCACTCCTATTTGTCTATATGTTTTCAACTCATTGGAGAATGGAGAAATTCCTTGACTATAAGGGAAAAAAATGACTGGAAATGCGGGAAAATAAGATTATCATTCTAAAACTCTCTTCATCCAACCCTCTACTCTCAGTAAGAGGAACTGATTAAACCAATGTCACACTCACGTCCTTGAAACCCCATGACAGAATCTGTGGCAAGGCTAGGAGTCCTTAGCTGGAGAGGACTGAGTTCAATTGCTAACCCTTCTCAATTAATTACTGGGAACCTGACTTTGTATTATGTGGCCAAAAATATATGCAATATTGCAATGTTTCTTATTTCTCAACTAGAAAAAGAAAGTCAGCTGTTTAAGGGGTGGTCGATGCCAAAGGTTGAAATGAAGTCTATAGCAGTAGGAGAGAAAGGAAAAAAAGTATTTTTGAGTTTGTTTCATTATGAAAAAGAAATATGAAAAGCAAAACAGTCATAGCCATTTGATAATTATTATGGTAAAATCTGGGAAACTAAAAAGTAGGGTCCAATAAGCCATTTTCAGTGGACCAGAAAGATTGATTATAATTAAAATAGCCCCACTTAATCATTTACCTTAATTAGCAAACTCTGTGTGTTTAAAAAGTAAAGTAAAAAGGACCAATGCTCAACCCTGGAAGAAATTGTAATTGTAAAACCTAAAGCACCAAGTAAACTGGGATGCTGTATACAATGATCTTGCTAATTTCTTTAAACAACGAAGTAAAACAGTTTTATAGTTAAATAACTTGCCATATATTTAAATCTTAAAATTGGGAAATTCAACTGGGAGAAAAATGTCTCTGGCATGAAGACTTGGGACTTAATCACACAGCTGCTTTTGACACTTTGAACCTTTTTTTTTTTTAATCTTCTTTAGCTGATGCTACACCTACTTCTCTGGTCTACAGTTAATTATGGTTCAATATAATCCTTAAAATCTGGTGCTGAAATTGCATATGCAGTACAATATTTACTTGTGTTAAGATAATATGCTTTTGCAAAATTGCAAGTTTTATGACAAGGAAAACAGCACTCACAGTGGGAGGCAAAAGGAGGGCAGAATGGTAAAATTCTTGCAGAGAGCACTTTGGTGATATTTATCACACCCAGACATAAGAAATGTATTTGCAGGGCTATTTGCATTACAAACAGCATTGTTCATAATAAAAGGATTAGAAACAACTCAGACACCCATCAATGAAAATCTGGTTAAATAAACAATGGTACATCTCCATAATGGAATATTATGCAGTCATAAAAATAAAATAAATTATATCTATTAAGAATATTTATATAACTCTCTACTGGATATGTTATAAAGACAAAGAAAGATGACTTGGATGATTTAGAAATAAGCACTCAGTGTGCTATACTTTAAGAAAGAAAGGATACTAAGAACATGTATTTGTATTTACTTTTATTCACATAAAAGATCATAGGAAGAATATACATGAAACTAATGAAAGTAGTTATCTGTAGGGAGTTTGAGCAGGTAGGAGTAAAGATGAATGGGAAGTAAGACTTTTCAATGTAAACATTTATTACAGTTTTAGTTTAAAATTGCTTGAATATTTTATCTATTCACAAATGAAATTTAAAATAAAAATGATATGTAAAGAAAAAATAAATTAAAACAAAAAATTAACACTTTTCTCCATATAGTTGAATTTTTAATATCCTTCACACTTTTCCTCCAGAACATCTACATTGCAAGAATATTACTTAATATAAAATAGTAACTCTTTTTGTATGAAAAGCTGTTTTGAGTTAACTCATTCATCATGTTAAAGATATAGCTAGTGGGCTCTGTATTATTCTAGATATACTAAGGCAAGTTGGAACTGAGAATCTGTAGGGAGTATGAGCCGAGGCACAACTTTTTAAAAAACTTTATTTCATATCCAAGTTTCTTTGACAATGTGGGTGTATATGCAAATATTTTTATTTTTAATTTAAGTTTGGCTTTCGTTGGCAAACAGATACTCTTCTTGCTCAGCAAAATAATCTCAGGGAAAATATCAGTGACTGGAGTTTCAGATTCACAATGTCTCATATTTTTTAATCTTGGAAATTCTATTGATTTTGTAGTTGCTTTTACACAATATCACACAATATGTTTGTTCTTGGCTTTTGCCCCAAGCAACCCAAATGACATTGATTTTTCCATCTAACTTAAAAATATTGATTTGTCTATGATTAAGAAGCAAAATGAAAGAACCATTCAATTCTAAGTTCCAAATGTACATTTTCACCCTGCTCCCAATCAATGATAATTAATGCAGCAATCACATTAAAATCTAGTTTAATTTTCAATAGTTAAAACTAATATAAAAACCTCACTTCTAAAATACATTAAGTAGAATTTTTTTAAACTGTTTTAACATGCATTGATTTCCTAGATAAAGGAGGCACTGTAACAAAATGCAAGCACCCAGCACCTTGATATCATGACAATGATAAAATCATAATGCAGCATAAATTTTTATTGCATTTCTTTTCTAGGTCAGATAGTGTTTTGAGGAAAGATATAGCAGCATAGAAAGTAGACAATGCCCTTGTTCCTATGAAGCTACATTTTAATGAAGGAAGACATACATATATCCGTCATCCATAAATAAATTTTAAAACATAATGGAATTATTAGATAATGTACAGTGCAGTATAGTTAATTAAAACAGGGTTATATGTTTGAAAGTTCCTGGCTGGCTACTTTGGAATGAGTTATTCAAGGAGGACCTCTCTGAGCAGATGACATTTTCGCTGAGATTGAAATATAAGAAAAGTTCATCCATGTGAAGCTGAAGGGGAAAATGGTGATATTAAAGAGGGAGGTAGGGGTGATCAGGTCCCGTTTTATAAGATAAGGTTATGAGTTTGGATTTTCATTCTAAGTGCAATGAGAAGCCACTGAAGGGTCTTGAACATGGTATCATCTGATGTGAATTTGTAAAAGAACATGCTGGCCATTGATTGACTAGAAAGTGGGTTGTAGAGGGAGGAGAGTGGAAGCAGGAGTCCAGATAGCTCAGGATAGAGAAGGTGAGTAGTCACTTAAATGAAGAAAAGTTCTTATTATTTGGGTTGTGGTTTGGAGGTAAAGAAGACTTGTTAACTGGCAGGTCATGGGGCTTCTGGAAAGAAAGGATAAAGGATAATGCCTAGAATTGCATTTGAGCATCAGAGGGTTGGGTATTCTCATACATTATGATGGGGAAGACAGAAGAGGGAGAAAAGGATTTAGGGGACAATTAAGAGTTGAGTTTAGGCCACATGCAGTTCGAAATGCCCATTGGACATAAGAAGAAAATGACAAGCAGGAAGTTGGATATATGAATTTCAAGTTCCAGAGACAGATTCAACCTGGAGATTTAGTTTTGAGAATCATCAGACTATACATTGCATTTAAAATCACAGAATTAGGTTCTAGGGAGAATGTGTAGACTGGTTAAGGTAGGAGGCCAAGGGAAGACCTCAGGGCACACACACCTCTACAGGACAGCAGGGTGGGAACCAGAAAGAAGGCTGAGAAGAGGAAAGAGAAGCGGGAGGGACAGGCACAGGACCCTGAAAGCCCCAGGAAAGCATTACAGGCGACGGTCATCCCTGTCAACTGCTGCTGAATAGCCTAGTGAGAGCATAACCACAACTGACAAATGGATTTGGTCAGAGAGGCTGCTGGTACACTCGGTAAGGGAAGTCTCACCACACTGGTGGGAAAGCAAATCTAATTCCAGTGGGTAAGAAAGAATCTGAGATGAGAAGTGAAGAACAGCTATTACAGATAGCTATTCAGAAAGTTTTGATGTGAAAGGGATGAGGCAAATGGATCCATCACTAAAGAAGGATGTAGGTGCCAAGGTGCCTGTGTTTTGTTTTACTTCACTTTAGGAGAGGATGTACTTGCTTAATATTGTAACAGGTTACAGAAGAAAAATCATACTTTTAAAATTTTATTTGTAAAAATTTATTTGCTGCGAGCAATGATTCAGTAGAAAGGGGGACCAATAATCTCAGAACCATTTATTGAGAAGTCTATTCCCTCCCAACTAATCTTCCTAAGGCAGTTGTGTTATTATATTACTTTTCATATAAGTTAGGAACACTTCTAAGCTCCTTATTCTGTTCTATTGTTCAGTTTGTCCATCAATGCATAAATACTCCTCTATAGTAATTATTACATCTTCATATTTGGTGAGGTAAATTTGTTCTCCTTCACAGAAATGTCACAATTATTCTTGGTCCTTTGCACTTCTATATAAAGTTAGAACCTGCTTGTCAAAATACCCAAAATTCCCTCCAAAATGCCCTGTTGGGATGTTTATTGGGACTGAATTGCATCCATAGATCAGTTGCCTTCCTACAGTATTAAACCTTCTATAATATGAATAGAATCTTTACAGGGTTCAGACTTGCGATCCATAAACATGCTGTATCTCTCCATTAATACAGATTTTTTAATGTCCTTACACAAATGATTATGAACTATATATTTATATATATAAATTGTGTTTATATATGGTATATCATATATGTGTAACATATATACTTATATTAGCATATATTTTGATATATCTTCATATTTGATGCTCTTAAAGTGGCATTTAGAAATCTGTTTTGAACTGTTTATTGCTAGCATATGAAAATATATACTGATTTTGTGTACATCAATCTTGGTGAACTCTATTATCTGTAAGATACTTGAAGGTTTTCTAGACAGGCATATTGTCAGTAAATAATAGTAGTTATGTATCTTCTTTGCCAATTCTTAAACATTTTCTTTCTTTTATCCTACCATCTGCTGGCAAGAACCCATTAATAAAATAGTGAACTTAAGGGATGTTAGCAAATATCCTTAACTTAGTCCTGGTATTAAAGGGACATCAATTACTGTGATGATAACTAGAGGTCTTTAATACACATTATCTATCCTTCTTCAGGATATAAGGATTCCTAGAAATAGAAATAAGTTCCCTCTTAT